GGTAGGCACACTTGCGTACCACACGTTGGCGGTTTACGGGAGTTACTCCTATTTAATTGCATCTTTGGGGAGGATTCATCTACCATTTGCCTAAATGCTTCGTTTAACGTGACACGTTCCTCACCCTCTGTCCAGCATAGGTACAGTTTGAAATGGCACTTCCGATTTCAAATCATTTAAAAGGTGCAAATTGTTTTGTTAAATATTTTACTGGGAAGAAGGGAAACTAACTGGGGGGCGGCCTGAAATACAAACTGAGAAGTGTCTCCTCAGGATGTTACAGGGCATTCATAAGTTGGCATGAAATAGCCCCGAACGGGAGTGGATCACGGACGGAGGCACACATTAAAAATGAAAAAAATAGAAAAAAAATAAAAAATAAAATAAAATGAGGAATGCAGAAATGGGATAAAAAAAAAGGAAAGAAGGCGACGTAATGGGGGTTGCCAAATGGTAGCTACAAAATGGCAGGCGTATTTTTTTCACCCCTTCTGCAGCACAATATCCTCATAAATATGCCACCTTATTTTGTGAAAGTTGCAAAAAGTTTGCTTCTCGGCTTCTGTGCGCACGAAAGGGACGTGTGGCCATGTACGGGGAGGTAGGAAAGAAATATTCCCCGTTTATGTTGATGGTGTCCTTTTGTAGAGAGACAACGGTTCGCTCGACATGCTGCGAAGCAGGGATGTTGGCTGCAGTTACACACAGAACCAGCGGCACCACCACCCCTAAGGTTGACACTTTATCTTGTCACTTTTTATAATAATAAAATCATCAAACTTTCTGTCCTGGGAAAATACAAAGTCATCAACTTTGGGATAGATGTCCAAAGCGGCGCTGGAAAAGTGGTCAACACTGTGATTATTCTCTTCACGTGAAAGGGACAACTTCGTCTTAGGAATAACGTAATAAGCAATTTTGTTTAAAAATAATTTATTGTACAGTCTGATCATATTTTTAAAATTAATATTTTTATTTTCAGCCTCTTCCTTTGGCTCCTTTAACAAAATTAAGCGAATGATTTCTTTTTTTTTTTCTAATTTTTCCAACTTGTCCTTATCTTTTCCAAAGTGATTTCTGTACTCGTAGGCAATTTCTTGCCTGTTTAGAAGGGTTAAAATTTTTAATAAATTTTTCCCCGTTAAATTAAGCAAAAACTCACTTAAAAAAGTTAATCGTTCTTTGTTGCTCAGCACATGTAGTCTTTTAATTAGGCCAATGCCATGAAGTTCTTTCCTTAGAATGATGCCACATTTTGTGTGCAAATTGATATTTTCTTCAAGGTTAATAACTGTTGTTTTGCTCATGCGGTTTGCGCAGCCAAATGCGCTGAGGACAGATTGCGTGAAGCTGATTCTTCCTGTGTATGTGTGTCCAACAACCCCGTAGGTAATTTTCCTACCCGTGTTAAACAAGCTTTTCACAAGTGACCTTACAAATATTTTGTAGTTGGTACTGTTGCTGGGGACACTATTTGAATGGCCTTGTGCCAATTTGGGGCCTCCATTATTTCCTCCTAACACTAAATAGCTCAGATTTTGCCTCTCATAGCATATAAAAGGTATAGTTAAAAAACAGTTGCGAAAGAAATGTAGCCACTGTTGAATTAGAGGCACCTCCACCAAATCACATTTATTCAAAATTAAAATGACTTCCTTCTTGCACTGCTTAATAAAGTCTATTATATCTTCCTCTATGTACACTAACGGGTTCCTAACATCGATAATGTAAAACAAGGCATCACAATTTCGTATGATTTCTAGTAGGTTATCCACGTGCAAGTACTTTTCGTTCAGTGAGTAGTACCTTCCTTCCTTCGCCTTTTCAAACATGTGCATCTTTGCCGCGAAGTTTAGATCGAGATAGTTGTAAAAGGAGTTCGCACATGGGTTAGTTTCCTCTACAGGTGCGCTTCCACAGGTCGTGCTACCATCCAACGTATCATTTAGAAGTGCACCGCAAGGAACATTGATTAGTTCCCCATCAGGGGCCCCCTCTGAGGAAATGTCCAACTCAAACATCATATTCTGCAGCGTGCAGTCATCGTGTTGCTCCAGCCTAACTTCCTTGCATGTGTCCTCATCACCGTTATTTTTGTTTTTCTTCTTCGAAGATATTATCTTTATATTACTTAATATGTCCTTTTTAAAAATACATTCTGGGATTTTCATAGATTTCTTCGTACTCCTCCTGTTATGGATTTTTGTTTTTTTAATGATTTTTTTTAGCTTCTTCTTGTGTGCCGCTACTTTCTTTGTGATGGCATATTTCTGTTTAAGGGGTTGCCTCTTACTGGTTTTTCCTAGCTTCACCATTTTGTTCGGTTGTCTTTAGGCGCACAGAATGATTAAACGGTCCCTCGTAGAAGGATAAAACTATCCATAAGGCGCAGAAGAGAGGTGGCTAATAAGACGGAATAAAAAGTTGCCCCTTCACATGAACGGTTAGGAAAAATAAAAAAACGGGTGGTATACTTGCCGTGAAAGCTATGAAAAGAGAGAGCTGGATTCAGACGGAAGAAGTAGGCTAGCAAAATGGGCCCACTTTTTCATTCGCCCAAGAGCATATTAGTGCAGGTACAAACTCCATGAGAGCAGACGTGTATGTTCACGGTCGCATTGATACGCAGTTACATAGGTAAGCAGAATGGATAGTAGCAGCTTCTAAAAATGGGCACTGCAAGTGTTCCCTGATATGTTTCCTTAAAGTGGAAGTGCCCTTTATGCCACTCCACAATGTAGGATAAAAATACAATAAAATAGAATACAATGCAATAACTTCTAACTTTCGTTCCTTTCTGCTGTTCAGACTGTGGCAGCAACACCTTCAAGTGGAACAGAAAAAAAAAAGAAAAAAAAAAAAGGATTTCCGCACTTTCCATAAGCAATATGGCACTATAACATATGTATTTTTATCCATTCAACTGGGTAGATGAAGCAGCGATATCGCTTTTATAAAAACAGATGAGTTTTCAATTTTTAAAGAACACTTCCGTAAACATATTGTTATTTTAACGGGGAAAAAAAAGGCAGCTTTTCAATTTTCTGGTAAATGCAGGGTGATAAAAAAAAGAGGAGATTTTTTTTGTTTCTTTTTTGTGTCGTTTCGTAAAACATATGGAAAATTATAACAGGTTTTAGCTGGATGCCACACTCTTATAAGTACAATTTAAAATTTCGCCATTCGGAAAAAAGAAAATACAAATTGGTGAACACCGTAAAGGAAAGAAAATGAATTGCATCAAAAGCACAAAATCATGAAATGGAGTCATTTTTTGGTTCAAAAATTTGGAAAAAATTTGCTTTGCCATTTTTGGAAGCATGATCCATTTTTTATAATAAAAAAGGGCATATAGAAAACTTAACCCAACTCGACCAACTGACAAGGTGACATTTGTTTTTCCATTCACATATAAGGTAGCGTATGCGAACCGTTGTTGTGTTATCCTTTTTCCGGTTTAGGCAGCGAGCAGGCAGGAAGAAAATTTCTCCCTTTTTCGTTGTTTTTTTCTGTTTTTTTTCCTCTGGAAGGAGCAGAAGTAATCTATTCATTTTTATTTAGAGGTTCCCTTTTCTTCCATTTTGATAATACGATTATACCACACATTCCCAATTAAAAGCAAGTTGATAGGGAAAAAATGGATGGCACAGTGGAGGGAAAAGGCAAAAAAATGAAACCCAAGTCGCAGCGAACTTTTTTCCGCCTATTTTTATCCGTGTCCGATTTTAACCCATTCATGCCTTAATGGGGAGAGCACTGCGGGGAGGTCAAATACCCCCCCCTTTTGAAGAAGTTTCCATTTTTAAGCTTACCCAAGTGAACGCCGCAACGGTGGTTGCTCCTATTTGTAATATTTTCATCATCCCCGTGTGCAAATCGGACAGTATTAACTTGTATGCTCAATATCTTACTAATAAATCGCTTTGATGGACCCGGAAAGGGCTCTCTTTTAAATAAATAATTGCGCCGTTGGACAATGGCACATTTCTGTTCCTGTTCACGATGCCCATATTCACACACGGTTATCTCGTTAAACCAGTTGAAGTGATCCTTCGGATGCTTTTATGAAGAAATATAAAATTGTTCAGCAATTCGCAATAGAAAGGTAGAAAATGTGCATGAATCGGGGTGGACACGTTTTACCCTCATGTAGGGGTAAGGATAAGCATGCCATGTGTACTACACAAATGGGGGAACATATTTTCATCCCTTTGCAGCCTGTACATCTGCCGCTAACTCCTCATATGGGACGCATTGAAAAGTTTTTAAACTTTCCTTTTTTTTTCCTTCTGTTCAAGCATTAAATGCAGCATTCTCTATGTAAGCACCCATTTGGGGTGCCTAGGAAAAGGGGGGGGGGAAAATAAAACCGTATTCACATTAAAAAATATATCTTAAGGCTTAAAATTTGTGAGCTTCTACCACATCTCCTGGGTTCACGCCCTCCTCGTGTTTGCTATCATCTGGTTGTATCTGCGGTTAGAGAAAAAAGCGCGACGAAATTACACATTTTGGTGTTACAGCTTAGGTGCATATGTCTGTCCCCATGTTGAGACATTTTTCCTCCGGAACAAAGCAGCGTATGGAGTGCCTTATCGATCCATTGGCGGCCCCCCATTCATGTGTGTGTTTTTCATCACCGATCCGCGTGCTCCACATTTCTTCGTCCTGAGACATGACTGATGAGGATTCTCCAACTTGGCAAAATCGAACACCACGTAACTTTCGCGATTGACGAAGTAATCTATCAGTTCGCAGAAGTATCCCTCAATTTTGTTTTCTAAAAGGGGAGGGGGCGATGAACCGGGGTGCGTGAAATTGGTGAGAGGTCGTCTAGTATGGTAACCGCAACGGAGTGCCCATTCGATGGTCCATTGTCCACTGTTCCATTGTCCATTATTCATTGTCCTTTTCCTTTTTTTTTGTTTTTTTGCCTTATCCATTTTGTTACCATCTTTCAGAATAGGCTGAAAATTCAGTACCATAAAGTTTTGCATTTTTTCCTGCGAAAAGTTTTTTTTTGTAGGAACAGTTGATATAATGGGAAGTTGTAAGATCCATTGGGGGCAGTCCCCACTCTGTGTTTCAATTACCTTTGCCTTTTTTATGGCCTCATTTAGGGTTTGAAAGGAAAATTTCTCCACCTTGTGGTTACATATACCTTGTGTGTTTACAAGTGCGGGGGAGAATTGCTCAAACATTTTTTCCTTCACGCTGGTAAGCCACCTGAAGGGAGGGGAAGCCCGTGGGGTGGTGTCCACATAGGGTGTGTGTGTGCTTCAACCCAGCTAAGATTATCATCGAAGGAGTTTCTTTTTTTCTCAAGATTTGCCCTCTTTTTATATTACAGTTCGTCATGTCTTGGCCTTTTAAGGACAAATTTTTTATCATAGCAAAGTCGGATTTCTTGCTTTGTGCCATTGTATAGGAAGTAGTTGCAGAAGGGGTCTTCGTCACAGTACTTGCGCGATAGGGGGAGGTGAACAAGTTTGTTTGAAAATGAACGATGCTGTATTAGCAGATTCATGTAAGCAGGGTCAGAATGTAGAATTATATAAACAACGGAGGAGTGACGCCTCTGATGAAATCATTTTTTGGTTCCAACCAATTCTCCGTGGTTTACGCTCAGGGAAGATTTCCTTTTACTTATAACTAGGAAGAAGAAATAAGAGGCGATTAGAAGTTTCTCCCTCAGCTGATGGTTTACGGAAAAAATTGCATTGAACATATCTTCCCCATTTTCAACTAACCATTGTAATTTTTGCAGTCAAAATACGATTCTGCAAGAAGAAGGAAAAAGGGATTACGCAAATCATGAGAGGTAATGTGTCAACCCATATGGTGATGTAAATCATTTAGGGAAAAAGGTGAATACTTGGCAAGACCAAATATTTCTTTTGTGTTATCCCGTTGTTGAAGTTGAAGCCGGAAGTCTGTCCATCGGGGGGGGAGAGGGAAAAAGACGAGGCACACACGTGTATACATGCATCCGTGTATTGATGGATCTGTGTATTCATGTGCAAAACCATATGTGCCCACGTGGCGAGAAGAAGATGTGAACGATTAGTGCATAGCTACTGCTCATTTGCAGTGGTGCACTTGTCCTGTGCGTCAAGAGCGTAAACTGGTAAGAAGTAAAGAATAGAAAGTTTAGTCCCCACCACGGTATTGGCAACTGCCAGGAACAGACAAAAGTAGCGTATCCCCCTGATGATGCACCTCATTTTCAACAAGATAAACAAAGTGAATTACAAAAAAGGGTGAACAGACAACGCAGGGAGTGAAGAAAACGTGAAACAAGTTAACGTGTGAGAAGTGGAAATACCTTTGCTCTGTGCTGAAAAAAAGGGAATAATCTTAATTTGCACGTTTTTGCTGAAAAATAAGGCCCCCCCAAAAATTATGGAACTAATTTGGACAGTAAAGTCCACTTTGATTATCTCCTCGTTCTGACCATTCTGTGAGGATCTCGGAATGTATATACAAAGCAGTGCAATTAGTGGGGTACATAAAAATGTATGAATTAAAAAAAAAAAAAAAAAAAAACATTCAGCGGTGCAACAAAATAGGAGCTCCTTGACTCAGGCACCTGGAACGTCTAGCACCGTTTCCGTAGGCAGACTGGGTTTGTAACTTTTCTTGAAATCGCCTCTTTACCCTTTGCGTCTGTCCGTTTTGCAAATTTTACCATTTTTTAAAAGATTAAGGGCGCTTTATAATGTTTTAAAATGAAAGGAGAACACGGAGAAAAGTCACATTGCAAAAGTTACAGCGAAGCAACGAAAAGAGGCGGGGGGGCGAATCAACATATCTTTTTTGTCTACATAAATATAAATACACTAAAAAAAATTTTAAAAGATAGTTCCTCCTGAATTTAGCTGAACGGGTTGAACATCTCGTATAATTCTTAACAAAAAAAAAGAAAAAAAAAAAGGCCAGCACGGTGGTGAGCATAATGCGAACTTCGTCAATATTGCAAAAGGGAAAAAAAAAAAAAAAAAAAAATGGAGACACAAATGAAGAAATTAAAAAGATTCAAATTAGGTACAAAACAGGGGAATGTATATTTGCGGGATGAAAAATGAACTTCATTTTTATTTTGTTCCCAAAGGGGTATATGTGCAATTTATTCCGCAAGGGTTGCACAAGTTGGTGCTGCAAATGGGGTTGCTTGGCACGCTCTTTGGAGTTCAGCAGATCTGCTTAGGGCTGACATGTTTTGCACCGCTCTCAATAGCTTCCAACAGTTTCAAACCGCTTCAAACCGCTTGAAATCCCATTTCGGCGCTGCCCCTCAACCGATGACGAAGTGGCTCTTGAAACCCATTTCCTCCTTCGAGTCCTCCACCTTCTCGCGCCTGTCCAGGATGAAGATGAGGATTCCAATGACGGTAAGGCAGATGAGGGTGATGTAAATGATGGAGTAAAACTTCTTGGACGGGTTGACGGAGAGCTGAATTTGCCACTTGTTCGAGTTGTCCAGGGGGTATGGAATGACGAGGATATGCGAATTGGGGATGATAGACACCCACATGTTGTAATATTTCTGTTGATGTGTTGGCATGCCGACATAAAACTCTTCCACGTAGTTACTGGTTCGGCCTAGTCCAAACAGAACATACGGTAACTGCAAAGGGGAATGAGCGGATTGGCTTTTCTGAATCCCAATTCGGCTAGATTTAATACCATTCACATCAATTACGGTAATTTTGAAAGTCGGTCCATGGGCATTCCCCCCTAGCATTTTGGTACTTATCTTATCCTTCTCTTTGTAGCAGTCGTTAACACATATGCCATTTAACGCGGTCGACTTTAGGAAAAGCGAATCCGTTTCGTTGCTTCTGATGAAGCCTACGGCCCCATACTTGCTCTGCTTGCTAGACGTTTTGTACTTGCCAAAGATGAGTATATCTAACACGCCATTTTCAAAAATGTCAAAGAAAGCAGAGTTGTAAACATCCGTCACAATTTCGTCTGGAGATGTAACGAACTGGTAGAAATTAAAAAAACCCCGAACATCTACGTTATTTTCTTCATGTAGACCCTTCTGTTCATTTTTATAAATGCGCACATACTTCTGACCTTTATCATTTTTCAATGTTAGTAGTAGGTCTAAGAAGCCGTCGTCATCGACATCTCCGACGCTTAGGTAGGAAGGATAGTCTGCATTTCCTGACAAGTGCAACCCAGAGGTATCTACGACAGATACGAAGTCATCATTTAATTCTTGCACAAAGGTGAAGTCACTTTCTGAGCATAAGTTGGATGCCAATCTGCATTTACTTTCATCTGGTTTCTGCCAAGAATGGTCACATATCTTTTTTTGAACATTGGGGATGAAAAAAATTTTATCATCACTCACACAGCAGTAGTTACAGTAGGAGCTTTTATTACACGTTGGAATTACAATGTCGATGGATCCATCGCCATTAAAGTCCCCAAACAGGACTTGCAAAGAATTGGGTGGTAAATTATAATTTTCTTTATGCTTGACGTAGATGCCTTTTCCATCCACTATTTTGTTCAGCCAGATTTCCAGAGAGACGTTTTTTTTTGTGTTACTTTTATCATATACCGTGAACACCAAATCGGCTTTACAATCTCCGTTGATGTCTACAACTGCGCTTGAATTAGGGTTAGTAATTTCGCCTACTTCTGCTTTATCAAATAGGTCCATACTTTTCCACAGTGCACTTTTGAATTCCCCTTTTCTGTTAATCCAAACAAAACGGGAGAAACCTCCTGCCTCACTGGAAGGTATTTGTGCTATAAGATCCGGCAGTCCATCATCATTTATGTCACAAACGAGTGGGTGAACACTACTAAAGTAGACGCTTTCATTCGTTTCTTTTGCTCCTGCCTTTTCGTTACCCGGTACAGCAGCTTTCTCGTCCGTGTCACTTTCCTCATCTGATATGTCCTCATTTGCAATTTCTTTTTTTCTTGAATTAAATGCCTCTTCCAGTTTGTCATTTTCGTTCTGCAAAAATGAGGCAACATAATACTTGGGAGTTTTGCTACTATCCTTGGTGATTTTAAACAGCACGAGGACGTCTAGCGCGCCATCGAAATTAAGATCGATCGCAGTGATGTTCATTACTTGGCCTTCGAGGTTGACTTCCGTGTGATACACAAATTTGTTTTCATGGACGCTGAAAATGTACACATAGATAGTGCTCATCTGTTTATCTTGGTCATACTTAAAAAGAATCAAATCCGTTTTCACATCCGAGTTGTAATCCCCAAAATCGCCAATCTCCGCGTTTATGTTCAGTCCAAGATTATAATTTATTTTGTACTCTGGCTTTTCCATCGGACTTATAGATTTCCATTTCTCAAACAAGTTCCAGTTATTCCCTTGGACGTAAAAACCTGTGTAATTCGCTTCATTTTTTTCCCCCGATAGGTGCATAAATGTTCTCTTTATGATGCTGTACAGGAACAAAAGGGACACCAGTTTGAACACAATGCTGTATTTTCTGCATATTGCCATATTGAGCCTTTTGCTGAGCGCTTGGAGCGGGGGATGGGAAAAAAATAGGTCACCAAAATGGTGTATACGCAAAGGTTGGTACTTAAAAAAATAGGATGGTTAGTTCCCTATCAAATATGTTTTTTTTTTTTTTCTCTCCTTTTATGTGATAAAAGAAAAAAAAATTCCCCGTCTACGTCACGTATGGCTTATGCGTACGTTAACGGTATTCTATGTTCCCCTTCTCCAAATATCATTTTACAGAGTGACCAAAGGGGAACACGCCTTGGGGCAAGGGTTAGGAAGTCTCCACGTTATTTTAAGAAGGCACATACACACAGATGTGAAAAAAGAAAAAAATGAAAAGAAGAAGAAACCACTTCGTGTAGTGGTGCTCATGTGCGGGAGACTTCAACAACCTTTGAATTTACCCAACATACAAAATGAGCTTTTTCAAAAAAGTTCTTCATAAAATAAAATCATATACAAACAGGTGAAGTTTAAAAAAAAAAAAGAAAAAAGGCAAATCAGAGGGAAGCAGACGTATAACCATGCACGAAATCAAATGGCACGTCGTGTGTTCTGTTTTGCGAAGTTATACAGGAATTCGTGCACAAATATGTACATTAATAGGCGGATTCTTCAGCGGAGGGGGGCATTTCCCCAGGAAACAAAACAGGTTAAGCATGTCAGTTGGACTTGACACAAATGGGCACATATATATGTTCAGAAGGTATGCACGTAAGATATCTGCCTCTGATGCGTAGTCCCCCGAACAACTGCAAACGCTGCGAAGGAATTGATAACAAAAATTCTCTCAACTAGGCATAACGAGCGATGTTAAGGGGGTGAAAATGCCGCCAATTGTGGTCATGTGCGGCGAAGTATGGCTAATTATGGCTAAGTATGCCAAAGGATGATAGCAAATGCAGCAAGCGGCGGGGAAAAAAAAAAAGAAAAAGAGAAAATGCTGCTTGTCGTGAAAATACATATGGCGTGATGGAAAAGCATCGCAAGTCATAAACGGGTAAGATGAAATTGGAAGGAAAAAATTTCCCAGTTTTTTCACTCACTGCGAGTTTAATTCGCACCAGCGTTGGAGTTATATCAATGTGCGGATGCGCGTTTATTCGAGTCATCACTTATGCCATCTGATATACGCATGATACGTACATTTGGGCTGTATAAGAAAGTGCCCTGTTTTTTCGCAAGGTACCTCGGCAAAACAGCAAAGGTGGGATTTAGCGAGGGGTAAA